TTGTTTTAAAAGAGATATCTATTAACTGTCTGTACAAGCTGGCATCTTTGAGGGAGGGCATGTAGGTGATGGGTTGGGGAAGCACTTCTTCCTATCCCTTGCCCATTTATCTCAATTTCTCTTGCTTTCTCATCTTTCCCTATCAGTGCCCAGGAGTATTGGTAGGGAAAGGGGACTCCCATTATCTTTAAAGGAGCAGTTCTTCTGGGTCCTCGAAGACAGTCTCCTGTGTCAACGTCCTACATCACATGGAATTGGGCATGAAAAATTTTTTTGGAAAGAGCGTCTTCTCATGGAGACTGTTGTCTAAAAAGCAAAGTGGTTATGGGGTTTCTTCTTCCTCAAAGGGTGAAACCCTGGCCTTGGGTAGTTACAGTTTCTGGTCAACCCCAGCAGTCAAGGAAGTGGGGTCAGATTGGGGAGGCCCCAGATATGCTGGTTGCACTCTGCTCAGGTCCCTAACACAGCCCCAATCTTAGTACGAAAACCGCTGTCCCTGGGCTTAGGAAGGCCGTGGGAGAACCCCATTACAAGTGAGCCCTAAGCCCATGCCCCATGATTTATTCCCTTGTTCCTCCCCACTACTCCAAGTGCTATCAGCCTAGTGCCAGCAATGCCCTTACAGGGTTATCCCCAAGGAAACATGTAGCTTTTCCATCTCCAGCATTGGGGAAAGGAAGGTGGATGGGTGTAGAGAGCAATGTTTTGCAGGGGAGAGGCCAGCTTTCCCACTGCCCTTCCCCTGCAACCTCATTTTATTCATCCATCATGCACCCACTTGTTAAACATGTATGGAAGGTCTCCTGTAATGTCTGACTTTGTTCTTTCTATTGGAAGCAAAACTGACTATCACAGTAATAACCCATAACCACCCCCCTATGACCAACAAAAAAAAAAATCCCATGGTCCTAAAAAAGCTCCTTGGCAATTACAGCTCAGAGTGGTTGGGATAAGACAGAACTGAGAACAGGGTGTTGTGGGGGCACACAGTGGGGCCAGCTACTCAGTGGGGTGAGAGGTAAGGAAGGTTCCCTTTGAACTGAGAATGGGAAGGGAAGAGAGATACGGAGAGGAGAAGGACCTAGTCTCTGGGGGGTCATTGGAGACAGAAGAGTTGGGGGAGGGCTGAGGGGAGAAGATGGCCCACTGTTCTTCAACCCCATGTAGGACCAGAGTGGGAAGGATGTGATGAGCATGAAGCCCAGTGAGAAGCCGTGAGGGGAAAGGCCCAGGAAATTGAAGCATCTCCTTCCCTTGGGTCAGCATGATTTCAGATGTTCTCAATCTCCTCCCCTTACATGTTCCTCTCCACTCCTCAAAGGCTGCAGCAAAAGTATAGTAATAAACTCCAGACCCAGACCAACTGGGTTCAAAATTTGGCTGAGCACAGTGGCTCATGCCTGTAATCACACCTATAAACTTTGGAAGGCTGAGGTAGGTGGATCATTTGAGGTCAGGAGTTCGAGACTGGCCTGGCCAACATGGCGAAACCTTGTCTCTACCAAAAATACAAAAATTAGCTGGGCCTGGTGGCACATACCGGTAATTAATCCCAGCTACTTGGGAGGCTGAGGTAGGAGAATCACTTCAACCTGGGAGGTGGAGGTTGCAGTGAGCTGAGATCGTGCCACTGCTCTCCAGCCTGGGCAACAGAGTGAGACTCAGTCGAAAAACAAAAACAAAACCCAAAAAAAACATACAAAATCTGACACTATCATCCACATTTTAATGTTGGGAAACTGAGGCCCAGAGAGGTGAGTTGACTTGCTCAAGGTAAAATAGAAAGTGCAGAGATGGCTTCTGATGTAATCCAAAACTTTTATATATTTTTTAGTGAAACCTTCTTTTCTTTATCAAGATGTAAACCACATAGGGTGGGAGTGTTTGAGCCCTCTGCAAGGATGTAGGAACTCAGGAGTGTGCAAGGACCTCCTTTTTAGTCATACGGAGTCTGAATTTAAGGAAAAACCCACTCAACTCAGCCAGGTGTTTGGCCCTGAGCCATAACAGGTGTGTGGCAGTCCCTTTTATGGCCACATGAGGTCAGCATTGAGTCACCCACTGGCCCCAGTACCAGAGCTTGCACTCTTGACAGGAATCCTTTCCAACACTCCACAAATGGGGAGAGGGACCATAGCAGTGTTATCTGAAAGGGTGACTTGGGGACTTTGACTTAGGCCACAGCATAGTTAGGGGCCTGACCTCGCCTCCTCAGCTCCAGTCTTCTCTGAGGCTGGGCCTCTGGTCTTTCTCTCTGTTGTTTTCTGGTTCCCTTTGTGCCCCCACTCCCCACCTCCACCCACCCCAGCTAGGCTCATCTTCAGGAAACAGGCCTGGTTTCCATGGTGACCAGCCGGTCAGCTGGCTCCTTCCACCGCCCCCTCCTTCACCCCCCTTTCCTGTAGCTTCCAAGGAAGGGTACTGTGTGTGAATGGAGAAGGCAGGGGTAGCCTTTTGTCTCTTGGGAACTCTAGGGCTGGCCAAAAGAGCTAAACTGTCCCTCCTCCAAAGCCCTTTGAAGTGGAGACAGAAAGGCAGTGGGGGTGAGTGTCAAGAGGAAGATTATAGTGCCTAAATGGGGAGCACGAGAGGATCCTCTGTAGGTTTGGAAAGGCCAAGGTTAGGGGCTCTGCTCTCTGTGGGCAGTGAGGACTGAATTGCGTGGAAGGGGCTGAAACTGGAACAAGAAGGGCTGGAGTTAGCTGTGAGGCCAGCTTCCCAAAAAGCATGGGCGGGAGATGCTGGAATGAGTCACCAAGTGAGATTCTGCCTCTGCCAAGGGAGTGAACAAGACCCCCGCCTCTTCTGGACAGCCGCCTTCCTCTGGGCAGGGAGAATGGACCCATCAACCTGGAGAGGGCCATGCAGGCTGGATAGCTCTAAGCAATAGGTGGACAGAGAGCCACCTTCACCTGCCTGGAAAGGGAAGAGTACTAAAACGAAGACAGGGCCAGGAGTGTACTAGAGGGGTGGGAACAGTGGCTGTTCCCAATAAGGGGAAGGAACATCCTGGGCAGATCAGTGTGCTTGTACCCTATCCCCCAAAATCAGACATCAAGGCTTTGCCCCAAACTAACTTCCTACCCACAAATATTCCCCATAGACTTTTGAGTGGGAAAAATCTGAATTCTAGGACTAGCTCTGTGAGTGCTAGCAGGTGACCTTGAGTAAGCCATTCACTCTCCCTCTGCCTTGGTTCCCTATGAGTAATTGGCGAGAACAGTTACTGTATGTCAAAGACTCTAATGACACATAGTAGGATTCCACAGTAACTGTGTATGCACAAGATTGATCATGCATGGCTTTTATTACATCCTTCATAATGGTTGGTTTTCATGTTCTTTTCTCCCAATTAGACTTTGTGCTCCTTGAGGGAAGGAAACTGTGTTTCACTTCTGTACTGGTTACGCAATAGGTACCCAACACCTGTTTACCGAATGGAGACATCCAGGAACGAATGAATGAATAAATGTCAGGGTCCTCCCTGCTGTGCCAGGGAATGCAGGGAAGAGCAGTGTGGGATGGCCTGAAAGGATAGCCTGCTTGCAGTGGCTCAGCCTGGCCTGCTTCCTACACCCACAAGTCGGAGCCTTAGAAATTGTCCAGTCAAATTCCTCACTGCACAGATGAAGAAATTAAGGCTCAGAGAGAGGAAGGCACTTGCCCAAGGTCACATAACTCCTTAATGACAGAGACAGGATTGAGAATTAGAACTCAGGTTTCCTGCCCTCCAGCGTAGGGCACTGCACACACTTCACTGCTTCTCTGGAGCTGCTCTTTTAGGGAAGGAAGATGGTTCACTGAAGGCCGGTTCCAATGTCCTCCCTCTGCCCTCTGTTAGTCCTTTCCCACCTCTAGCTTCAGTCTCTTCCCTTTCACCCTATTCCATTCCTCTGGAAGTCTAGCTTCTGCTTTAACCCTTCACTATGCAACTGGGAGTAAGGATCTTCCCTAGGGTTTCAAGGATCAAGTTCCTCTCCCCACTCCTGTGCCCCAGGAACTTGGGGGAACCAGAGATGTGTGCGTGTGTGGCGGGGTGCTGTTAGTTGAACCTCGGGGACCCAGTCCACGGAGAACAGATGGAGAGGAGTTGCGGCATAGATTCTCCCAAGATGGGAGTGCGGGAGGGAGGTGCAGTGAGCAGGGCTGGGAGCGGGGAAGGGGTGTGGGGAGTCCCTGTTGCTTTACCCCTTCGGGGGCTGGTTATTAGGTAGGCTTGGGAAGGCGGAGTTTGGGGGGCTGGGGGCGGGGCTCGGCTGCGCTGGGAGGAAGGGGGGGCGCGCTGGCTCCAGCTCGGCTCAGACAAAAGGCGGCGGCGGGAGCGGGCGGGAGGCGGAGCGGCGCCGCGAGGGCCTCAAGGTGACACCCGCCCCCGGCCCCGGCCCCCCCCGGCCCGGCCCCCCTAGCCTGCCTCCCACCCCCAACCCCCAGCCCCTTACTCCCGGTGCCCTTTCCGGGCCCCCTCCCCCCGGCGGGGGGTGGGGAGCAGCGAGGGCCCCGCCCCCTCCCGTCCTCTCCCCAGGGCCCGCGCAGGATGCCCCCGGCCCCTGGCAGCCCCCCGGGAGGTCCTGAGCTCGACGCGCCCCCTCTACGCCATGTCCCCCCCTGGCTCGGCTGCGGGAGAGAGCGCCGCCGGCGGCGGCGGCGGCGGTGGCGGCCCCGGAGTCCCGGAGGAGCTCACGGCGGCGGCGGCAGCGGCGGCGGCGGACGAGGGCCCCGCCCGAGAGGAGGTGAGAGTCGAGGCGCCCCTTCCCCGAGCGCGGCCGCAGCCTGGCCCCCCATCCCCCATCGCACGCAGCCCCCGCCGGTTCCGCCGCAGCGCGGCCGGCGCCCCGCACCGGCAGCTGCAGCCGCAGTCCGCGCCGCCGCCCCCACCCGGCGGCGGTCCGCGGTGCCGGGGAAGGGGCCGCGCCGGGGGCGGGGCTCAGGGGTCCCGGGCAGGGGGAGGGGCCTAGGGGCGGAGCCTCGCGGACCCTGGGCTTATGAGAGAGGGGTCTAGGCTCTACCGGGGTGGGGACGGTGGCAGGGATCCTGTCTCACAGAGGGGGATGCTACCTTGAAGGCCAGGAAGGGAGACTTGTAGGGGCTACAGAACGAGGAGGGTACCATGGGGAAGTGGTGGCGTTACCTGATCTGGGACCCTAAGGAGGTCAGATGTGTACAGGGGGATCCCCCCTGTGGTCATTGGGAATGTGTGTGTGTGGGAGGGGGGGTGTGCACCTCTCACGAGGCTCCTGCTGCTTCCTCATATCCCTAGTTGGGGTCACTAGTCCTCAGTCCTCTGAACCTGAAGACAAAGAGACGGAGGAAAGTACCAAGAGCACCCCCACTCCAGCCTCCCATGCACACTTGTGCACACGCATGCACCCTGCACTAGGGCAGAGGCACACAAGAGGGGATAGGCCTGCAGGTAAAGCCCCTTTCAGAGGTACCCACATGGGGACAAACGCACAACCAAGTAGGCACACGAAGGGGCCCATGTGTTCATACCTCCTAAGGACAAGGCTCCCCAAAAGGCACACGTACCCTAACCTCCTTGTCCACATGTACTGTGTGCTATTTCCTAGCTCGCCTAACTATCCATACTTCTAGATCCAGGGCTTGATGCCTATTATTGTACCTTCTTTTCCACTCTTTTCCTCTCTTCCCTGGCTGGCCTCTAGGTCAGGCTTGAGGAATTGAGGGGGTAAGTCAGGATCCCAGCAGGCGGCTCTGTGTGTGTGTGTGTGTGTGTGTGTGTGTGTGTGTGTGTGTGTGTGGTGGGGGGATGGGTTCCTAAAGCTAGAAAGCAGAGAGGAGGGGTGGGAAAACAGGCCACTACAATAAATCAAACTCAACACTCAATTAGGATGTGGCTGCTGGGGGCCAGCACCATGGTAGGCACCTAGGATGCAAAGAGAATGAAGTGTGGGTCCTCAGGAGTACCCAATCTAGTGGGGAGCCCGACATGTAAACAAATCCTGGGCCAACCCTGGGACAGAATGTGCCAAGTGCTTTAACAGACAGGCTCCAGGAGAGTACCAAAAATCATTTTCTCTCGACAAATTGCTGGGCTTCAAACGTTGTCCTCGCTACCCTGGTCCCACATCCCCTATGCCTGTCCTCTCCTCAGCCACATGCCTCTGCCCTTCTGGATACCTCCTCCTGGACTGCCTGCCGCTCAGGGACCCCAGCCCCCTCCCTCCCATCCTAGGACAAAGGGAAGGATGTCAGGGCACAGGAGGAAGACTCACAGGGGAACCAGGGTCCAGAACATGGGGAATGAGACAGGGCCTGGGGTTCTCTGGAGGCCCTTCTCCAAAGGAGGTGTTAGGCTAATTGTGAGGGTTAGGGAGGTGCATGGGTCGGAGGGGAGCAGCTCCTCTAGAACCTAGGCCTGAAACAAATCTGGAAGTGAGGGCCCCACTTGTTAAGTGGGGAGGTGATGTCAGTGGGTCCCTCCCCCTTTTCTAGAGGACCTGGAAGGGGTCTGGGCTGGGGACCTGCCTTCGCTGATGCCTATCTGTCTGTCCTCCCCTGTCTTCTCTGTCCACACCTTCTCCTGTTTCATTGCCCTCTTTATGTCTGTCTCTGGACACTCTCTGGGTACCATCCTATCCATCTGTGTTTGCTGCCTGGGCCTTCATCTCTGGCTCTGATCTTTCTCTGCCTCTTGGGGTGTCTCTCTCTGCACTTGCCTGTATTGGCATTCTGGTCCCCTTTCCTATCCTCATGGCTCGCTCTGTGTCACTTCCATTTCTACCTCTGGCCCCTGACTTCCATCTTGGTCTCACCTTTTCTCTCCATATCCTTGTTCTCTTTGCTTGTTATTTCTGGTGCTGGCCTCTGCCCCTCCATCCCTGCATCCATCTCTGTGCTGGGTCCTGCCTGCTCTCAATTCCCACTCATCTCGGCCCCTCTCCCTGCCCACCTGAGCAGCAGCGTCCCATCCAGCCCTCTTTCACCAAGTCCCTCTGCCGTGAGTCCCACTGGAAGTGCCTCCTGCTCTCGCTGCTCATGTACGGCTGCCTGGGGGCAGTGGCCTGGTGCCACGTCACCACAGTGACGCGCCTCACCTTCAGCAGCGCCTACCAGGGCAACAGCCTCATGTACCATGACAGCCCCTGCTCCAACGGCTATGTCTACATCCCCCTGGCCTTCCTGCTCATGTTGTACGCCGTCTACCTGGTGGAGTGTTGGCACTGCCAAGCCCGCCATGAGCTGCAGCACCGTGTTGATGTGAGCAGTGTGCGGGAGCGTGTGGGCCGCATGCAGCAAGCCACACCCTGCATCTGGTGGAAGGCCATCAGCTACCACTATGTCCGCCGCACCCGCCAGGTCACCAGATACCGCAACGGAGACGCCTATACCACCACCCAGGTGAGGAGCTGGTGGGGAGTGCAAGATATTCAACATGGGAGGTGGCACTTGGCCCTGCCTTACTCCCTCCCCACCTCCCTGGGGGGAAGGTGGGAGGAGCACAAGGCAGCAGTGAGCTCCCATGAGCATTGCAACAGCAGGGCAATAGCAACAACCATAGTCATAACAGCAAACAACGACCAGGAGCCAGGCTCTGCTCTAAGTATTTTACACACATCAAATCATTTATTTAACCCTCATAACAACCCTATGAGGTAGGCAGGTATTCCCATTTTGCAGATGAGGAAACTGAGGCCTGGAGAGTTTAAGTAACGTGTCTAAGGTCAAATAGGCAGTATGTGGTGGAGATGAGACTCGAACTCAAGGAATCTGGCTCCAGGATCTGTATACTGTTTAGTGCTTAATGGGTCTATTTGGTGATTAATGGCAGTGTGTGGTGGCTCAGGCCTGTAACCTCAGCACTTTGGTGAGGCAGGAGGATCTCTTGAGCCAGGAGTTTGAGACCAGCCTGCCTCGTGGCAACATAGTAACACCCCATCTCTAGAAATAATAAAAATAAGTAGCTGGTGTGGTGGTATGCACCTGTAGTCCCAGCTACTCAGGAAACTGAGGTGGGAAAATCATTTGAGCCTGGGCAGTTGAGGCTGTAGTGAGCTGTGATCACCACAGTGCAAGACCCCATCTCAAAAAAAAAAAAAAAAAGAAAAAAAAAAGAAAAAAAAATTAGTGCTTAATGGTTGGAGATGGCTTCACATGCCCAATATCATAGCATGCTCTACCTATTCAGTGAGGTGACTGCTACCGAGTTCTCTTTCACAGGTATGGACACCTAAACTCAGTGACTTGTCTAAAGTCTGCTGCTCTTAAGTGGTAGTACTAGGCTCAATCCCAGCTTCCTGGATCTCAAGTTCAAGGGTCTAAGAAGAGGTGGGCATAGGAATTCTCACTGGGGGTGGGCAGGTCAATCAGCACTTTGTGGACTCGCCAGGATGAGACATATTGGAGTCCTGGAGGAGACGTTCCCAGATGTAGGCCATCTGTCTTAGTATAAGGATCAACAGACAGAAGCCTGGGGCCGGTGAGAAGCAGGAAGGAGGCTGAGTGATAGCTATAGCCTGAACAGTAAGACTAGAGACAGAGGGGTTCTTTAGGAAGTGCTTCTGGGGAACCCATTTGGAAACACAATTGTAAAAGGGAAGAAAGAAGAAGAGAAGGCTGTTTGTGGTGATGCGGGAGCACTTTGGAAAACAGAGGCAGTGGCAAATGGATCAGGCAAGCCAGAGGGGCAGTTCGTGGCCAGGGCCTGACCCCTAGAGGACGCAGGGTTTAGTTAGAATTTAAATACGCACAGGTGGGGCTGGTTCTAGTCCGGTCCTCACGTCTGATTATGCAGAGGGCGTCAGTTGCTCTGCAACTCGGAAAGATCCTAACCAGCTCCAGCCGGCACCTAAATCAAGACAGACTTAGGGTCCGACCGGGCAACCAGAGCAGCGATGGGGTGGGCGAGGGTGAGTGGGCAGAAGCGGGCACCGCTGACGGGCTCCTCGCGACCCAGCCGCCTGCCCCCCGCGCCGCAGGTCTACCACGAACGCGTCAACACGCATGTGGCGGAGGCCGAGTTCGACTACGCGCGCTGTGGCGTCCGCGACGTGTCCAAGACGCTGGTGGGGCTGGAGGGCGCCCCGGCCACGAGGTTGCGCTTCACCAAGTGCTTCAGTTTCGCCAGCGTGGAGGCCGAGAACGCGTACCTGTGCCAGCGCGCGCGCTTCTTCGCAGAGAACGAGGGCCTGGACGACTACATGGAGGCACGCGAGGGCATGCACCTCAAGAACGTGGACTTCCGTGAGTTCATGGTGGCCTTCCCGGACCCGGCCCGGCCGCCCTGGTACGCCTGCTCCTCAGCCTTCTGGGCCGCGGCGCTGCTCACGCTGTCGTGGCCGCTGCGAGTGCTGGCAGAGTACCGCACGGCTTACGCACACTACCACGTGGAGAAGCTCTTTGGCCTGGAGGGCCCGGGGTCGGCCAGTAGCGCGGGCGGCGGCCTCAGCCCCAGCGACGAGCTGCTGCCCCCGCTCACCCACCGCCTACCGCGGGTCAACACGGTGGACAGCACGGAGCTCGAGTGGCACATCCGCTCCAACCAGCAGCTGGTGCCCAGCTACTCTGAGGCGGTGCTCATGGACCTGGCGGGGCTCGGGACGCGCTGCGGCGGGGCGAGCGGCGGCTACGCGCCCTCGTGCCGCTACGGCGGGGTAGGCGGCCCGGGCGCGGCGGGCGTGGCTCCTTACCGGCGCAGCTGCGAGCACTGCCAGCGCGCCGTCAGCAGCTCGTCCATCTTCTCGCGCAGCGCCCTGAGCATCTGCGCCAGCCCGCGGGCCGGCCCGGGCCCCGGTGGGGGCGCGGGCTGCGGGGGCAGCCGCTTCTCGCTCGGCCGTCTCTACGGCTCCCGGCGCAGCTGCCTGTGGCGCAGCCGCAGCGGGAGCGTCAACGAGGCCAGCTGCCCCACGGAGCAGACGCGGCTGTCCAGCCAGGCCAGCATGGGGGACGACGAGGACGACGACGAGGAGGAGGCCGGGCCGCCGCCGCCCTACCACGACGCCCTCTACTTTCCGGTCCTCATCGTCCACCGGCAGGAGGGGTGTCTGGGCCACAGCCACCGGCCGCTGCACCGCCACGGCTCCTGCGTAGAGACCTCACTGTGACCTCCGTCCCCGGCGTGGCCCGCGCCGCCCTCCCGCCTGCCCCTCGCTGGACTATGCTCCCTGTGCGACGCAGGGCGAGTCACCACGGTGACTGAGGCCGCGCGGGGGGCAGGGAAAGGGAGGTGAGGGCCGCAAGACAGACCTGGATGGGGCCGAAACCCCTGTCGTCCCTGTACATAAAGAGACCGATGGGTGGGAGGGGGTCGGCTGCTCCCCGAGATCCCCCTGGCAGAGTCATTCTTCCAGCCCCACCCCTGAGTTCCTAAAGGGACACCTCCCTCCTGTCCAGCCCTTCAACAGATCTTCTGACTGTTAGATGACAACCGCGCCGTGGGCCCCGCGTTGGGCCTTGTCTGAAGGGAGAGGCCCTGGCGTGCGGCTGGGAGATTTAGAGGCTGTGGAGAAGGGAACTTGGGGTTTTCCTTCCTCCGTGGCCTCACTCCCCTGGGGCCTCTCTCTGTGGAGGGAGCAGTGGTTTGGTGACCAGCAGGCTGGATTCCAACTAGCTAATGCATTTAGCGGGTCTGAGGCTGGGGCCAGGTGTCAGCCCCAAGCCTCCATCCAACACCGTGGAAATGTTGCTGCCCTCTTCTTGGCGCTGACCCCAAGATTGGGGTTTCCCTTCTGCCGCTCCTTCCGCTGTTGTTTATCTAACTGGGCCCCCACTCCAGGTCCAGAGGGACTGTGCTCACCGCACAGACGGCTCTCATCTCCCGCTCTTTGGTCCTGCAGAGCTGTTGCCAGGGTGCAGTGGGGAGGAGAGTGAAATATGGAGGGCTGTGTACCTCAGTCCTTTCTCTAAACTCTGCAGCCTCCCGGCAGGGGCCTCCTCACCTGGGTTCTGGGTGTGTACTCCCTTTAGAGAGTGTGAGATACACCCGGGCGGCGCTTGTTAAAGCTGGCCAGGGCGAGTGACTAAGGGGAGAGAGCATGACATAGACCTGGGTGACAACGGGGACCTCTAGAGGGAAGCAGGTGGGAGTAAGAAGAGGGCAGTGGAGGGTAGAGGAAAGGACTTCCAAAGGTGGGGTATCTGTGGGGGCAGCCTTTGCCTCCCTAAACCTGTGCAGAGGAGTGGAGCGTGCTTTTCCCTCAAACACATCTCTGGGGGGCTGAGGACGTTGTCACAAGTCCCAACTGGAGAAATAATTCCAATGGCAGGGTCAGAGGCAAGCATTCTCTAAATCTTGCCCAACCCTTCCATCCTCCCCTATCCTATGAGCTGAAGCCCTGCTGTGTGTCCCAGGGTCTTCAAAGGGGCATCCTGCCACCACCCCAGGGTGCTGGCCCCACATCCTGTTCCCCTAAAGCTCTGACACCGCCTTCTCTCCCTGTGCGCACCCCACCACCTCCACCCCAGTGTGCTTCAGTGTGCATGTCTGTGAACAGCCCTCCTGCCCTCCCAACTCCCCTGGCTAAAGTCTCCCCCGCAGATTTAGTGCCCAGGGCTTGAGCTCACATTTTAGGCTAGAGAGGATAACCCTTGGGCCACCCACATTTCTCACCCCTGATGCTGCTTACATTCGCCTGAGCCATCAGAACTCCTCCTTCCCCTCCTTCAGCCCCTGTCATCTTCCTCCAGCCCAGCCAGGCCTGCACCACCAACTGTGTGGCCTCCACCTATGCAACATCACCTCTGGCTCCCCTTCCCTTCTTCCTAGGGAGAGGGGCCCAAATTGTGGGGATACCATGGCCCATGGCTTCTAAAGGGTTTAGCTTTACTTTCAGGTAGAGATGGCTGAGTGAGGAGGGAGAAGAGGCTAGAGAGAGGCTTGGGCAGGGGAAACAGCTGCCCACCAGGTTTCCCTGGCAGTAGTGCCCACCTGCCTATTAGCACTGAACCTGCCTGGATCCCGAGTCTGTGCTCCTTGGGGGCCTGGCATTTGGAGCACCCTTCTTTCCTCTGAATGGACATCTGTGAGGTACAGGTGGTGAGCTGCGGCCTCAGGCTCCATTTCTTAGCCAGCTGGCACCCGGATGTCATGCTCTGTGTGGGGACAGCCTGGCCACCTCAGGGCTCCAGGGGAGGAGGAACATGGCTCCTCCTCCCTCAGGCCTGTTCCTGAGACAGAGCCTGGTCTCAGAAGAGGGGAAGGGGGACCTCTATTATTATTTTTGCCTGTATTGACTATTTCTGCCTAGGTCATCTCAGCCTCATCTCCCACACACGCACAGACTTAGAGAGAAACAATTCTTTGGTCTATTTTCTTGGTAGCTTTATTGATTGCCAGGGAAAACAAAAACCAGAAAATTAATCTCTAAGATTAAACTTTACACTGAATGTTCTTGTTTCTCTAATTAGAACCTCTGCTAGCAGCTGTGGCTATACACACACACACACCCTCACACCTACACGTTTGCACTCCGGAACTGTCAGAGGGTGTCAGGCACAGACAGACTCTAGGTTGCCTAGACAGGCATACACATGCAGTCACTCCCGAGCCCCCTTTGGTGCTCTGCTTAGCATCTGCTTAGTGGAAGGAGTCCCTGGAGAGCAGGCACTCCTGCATTGGGGTTGTAGCCCATGACCTGCCCTTTGGGGACACAATTCTGGAGGCTCTGGGCCAATCAGTCAGCCTGAGGAGGATGGGGAATGGCGCTCAGCCTGAATCAGTCAGCTAGGTCTCTTGTGGCCTTGGGGGCTGATGTGATTCCTGTAGGTGTGGCCCCAGGGTGGACAGCTACAGAGTGATGGGGACTCATGGAGGGCACCTAGAAGGCTCCATGTGGCCTGGGGACAAGGGCTTGTGGGGTGGGCTGGGCCTGGCTGGGGAGAAGACAGGTCTCTGTCAATTGGGTGCATCACACTGTGGCCTTTTTGTCGTGGATTTAAGCGCAAAGATTGTACAAATCAAACTGGTGGATAATAAAGTTGTGGATGACTCACTGACTTCCTGTCCCAGTGTGGCACTTCTTTCCCTCCCTCCCAGGGAAGCTCTCTGGGGTGGGTGGCAGGAATCGTGTCATCTTTCCCTGGAAGTCGTCATCTACAGCTGCCTCCCCAGAGGAGGCCACTGGGTCTGAGTCCCTGGTGTCATTTCGTTGTCCCCTTCCCAGGTTGGGGAAATAGGGGATGGAGTGGCCTATAGAACTGGATCACCTAAAGCAGAGTCAAGCAACAGGGAAATGCATCTACAGGGCTGAGGGTGGCAAAGAGAGCCAGACATAGCTCTGCTGTAGCCAGAGCGTGTGTGTGTGTGTGTGTGTGTGCGCGCGCGCGTGCGTGTTTGAAGATCAAGGATCTGTTTGGTAGAGAAGAAAATGGTGGGGAGGGGAGTCAGGGAGGCAGGCAGGCCCCGTGGGAGAATCTGGCAGGCACAGTCCCTCAGACACCTCTCTGACTTCCCTATTCCTGGAAGAAGTTGGTCATTTGTGGGGGTTCAGTAATATCCTTTCCCTGGGCACAGGGGCGGGTTCCTACTGCATACCCTTTCTTCCCCCATGCCAGTCTCCCTTTCCTGCCTCATGTCTCCATCCATACAACCCTTGATCACTCCAAGGATATTCACGGTCCCCCTCCCCGCTCCCTCTGAACCAGAGTGATACTCTGCAGCAGGCATGGCGGGGGTATGAAATGAGGGACAGGGCTGGGGCCATGATCCAAGTCAGGTCATTTTATCCCACAGAGTTCTCAGGGCCATTGGCAGTGATGGTTGACATGAAGTGGCTGCGATTCAAGGCCCGCTGGCGGGCTGCTTCTCGGTTTGTATAGAGGGCCTGGCCAATGAGGTACTCGCTTTCCTGGGCCACATCTGACAGGCGCAAGTCAAATTCCAGGAGGGTCTTGTTGTCCGACATGCCTTCCAGGAGCTGCTTCCCACCATCCTGGGAGAAGGGTGCAAAGGAAGGGGTCATATACATCACTACCCAGGATCTGACATGCATACTACACATTTTCATGTAGATGTGACTAAAACATAAAGTTTCACAAAACAATACTTAACCTTTTTGTGACGCATGTCGACATATTCTATTCTTTTCCATTTGAAAAATTATAGCCAATACCCACTAAATTGATTTCTCAACCCTACTAGCTTGAAAAACATGAATCTCTGGCAATGATGAGAATTCCATTCCTTTGGTTCAGCCATGGGCATGTGGGACAACTCTAATGAGATGCGAGGGGGAAGCTGAGAGGGGGTGGCTTCTGGGAAGGTTCTCCTCACTCCAAAAAGAGAAGAAAAGGGAGCAGGTGTTCTCCTGTTTTCTGCCTCTGGGCATGTCCCTATGTGAGATGTCAGAACTGTGGCAGCCATCTTGGGACCGAGAGAAGCACTAGAGAGGCCTTAGCCACGAGGCTGGGGTGGGCAGAGCAGAGGGTGGCACTGAACCCAGGGGTTTACCAACCCTACAACCCTCTAATTCTGGTTGTGGGAGACACTGAATATTCCTCCTGCTTAAGGCCATTTCTGGTTAAGCTTTTTATTACTTGCAGTCAACAGCACCCCCTCTAGAAAATGTGTGTGTGTGTGTCTGTGTGTGTGTGTGTGTGTGTGCATGCACACGTGTGTATGTGCCTGTGTAGGTGAGCAAGGTTCTCATGGGGAGGTTTAGCAGAGGGTTCAGTGACCTAAGGGAGGGCCCCGCTCAATGGTCATCACAGCTCCAACCCCTGCTGGGTTGGGTGCGCTAGCCCCAATGTGAAAGAATTTCATGTTGGGAGGCAGAATGCCACCATTCTGTGGTTGTGACCCAGCAGTGTGTTGCAAAGTCAACTTAATGGGTCACAGAAGCATTTAAAAATACAATAGAGTAGAATGTAAAGGAAAATATCAGCATATATCACAAGTCATAAATTTCAAAATCATGTTTATGTTGGTGTTCATGTAAATTGCATTTTTTTTTTTTTTTGAGATGGAGTCTTGCACTGTCACCCAAGCTGGAGTGCAGTGGTATGATCTTAGCTCACTGCAATCTCCGCCTCCTGGGTTCAAGCAGTTCTCCTGCCTCAGCCTCCCGAGTAGCTGGGGTTACAGGCGCATGCCACCACACTAGGCTAATTGTTGTATTTTTAGTAGAGATGGGGTTTCACCATGTTGGCCAGGCTGGTCTCAAACTCCTGGCCTCATGTGATCCACCCACCTCAGCCTCCCAAAGGGTTGAGATTACACGCGTGAGCCACTGTGCCTGGTCATAAGTTGCATTTCTTACTCTCAGACTTGGCTAAGAAAGTTTGAGAGACACAGCCTATTAGAAAGGACTCAGGCTTTCAATCAATCTTGGATTTGAACCACAGCCTTGCCACTTTCTACTGACTTGATGCCCTTGGGCAATTCATAATCCTCTCTGAGACTTAGTGTTCCATCTAGAAAGTAGGGTTAAATATACTTAGTTATATACTTAAATATATTTAGAGTTAAATACGCTTAGGGTTAATATACAGTTACTTAGGTAACTGTAAGGATTAAAGGAAAAATAATAATCACTGGGATACACAGTATTTGTGCATACTCGATGCAGTATGTAGTATGTAAAGTCTGTGATCTTCACAATTATCCCACAAGTACTCCTGGCAGTCGGATTCCACACCCACCCTCACAAGCCCAGAGTAGGTGGCTCACCAGCCCGATGTGGTTGCAGGACAGGTTGATGCTGGTGAGTGTGGTGTTGATGGCGAGCACCTGCGACAGGAGTGTGGCGGTGGGTTCAGACAGCTCATTGCCACCGAGGTGCAGGGTGGTGAGGCACTTGTTGGTCTGCAAGGCATGGGCAAGAGCCTGGCCACCCTCATCCTCGATGCAGTTGAGACGTAGGTTGAGGGAAATGAGGTTGGTGTTGTGTGCTAGAGCATGAGCCAGCGACTGGGCACCAGGCGCACGCACCTGGTTGTTGGCCAGGTTGAGCACACGCAGGCGGCTGTGGCTCAGCAGCTTGGCAGCACCTCGTGCACCACGGTCCCCAATGAGGTTGTGTGACAAGTCCAGCTCCTCAAGGACTGGGTGGTCCAGAAGACTTCGAATTATGATGCGTGCTTTGTCATCATCCACCTTGCTTCGGGTCAGCTTGAAGATCTGTGGGCAGGCAGAGGGTCTATGGCACCTGCCAGTCAGGGATAATCAGCCTGCCCACCTAGATCTTTGGCAAACTTGGCTCACCTAGTGTTGGCCACCTGGCTAGGTCATGGAGGGGGCCAGGCCTACCAGCATGGCAGAGTAGTGTAGAATTGGTGGCAGGTAGCAGGGAGGAAAGATCACTGTTTATTGAGCAATTACTACATGCTTGGCTCTTTCTTTTTTCTTTCTTTCTTTCTTTCTTTCTTTTTTTTTTTTTTGATGGAGTCTCGCTCTGTCACCTAGGCTGGAGTGCAGTGGCACGATCTCGGCTCACTGCAAGCTCCGCCTTGCGGGTTCACACCATTCTCCTGCCTCAGCCTCCCGAGTAGCTGGGACTACAGGCGCCTGCCACCACACCTGGCTAATTTTTTGTATTTTTAGTAGAGACGGGGTTTTACCGTGTTAGCCAGGATGGTCTTGACCTCCTGACCTCGTGATCCACCTGCCTCGGCCTCCCACAACGCTGGGATTACAGGCATGAGCCACTACGCCCGGCCGCTTGGGTCTTTCATAACCATTATCTCTAATCTTCAGCATCTCAATGAAGAAGAGAAAGTTCTCTCCATTTTGCAGATAGAAAATGGAGGTTTACATTATTTCCCCAGAGTAATACAGTGATTGAAGCAGTGGAGACAGGTTTGGAATCCAAGCCTGCCTGAGGCCTCAGCCCCTCACTGCATCCTCCTCTGCCAGCCAAGATCCACCAGGGCAAGGAGAGGACCTCTTTGAAGGAGGCTGCCAGGGCAAGAACCAGGGAGAAAGTGGGGAGGTGGAGAAGCAGGAAAAGGATGAGATAAAGGAATGAAGGAAAGGAGATGGGGCTGGCAGTATGAATATTGTCCATGGGAGCCTCTCCCCCTCACCTTCCTGCTGGCTTGTCCTGCTCCTCTCTCTCCCTTGAGACCTCTGAGTGTCTGACCTCTCTCTCCCTGCCCTTCAGTTCACTCCTCTTTATGCTCCTCTTACCCAGCTGAGTCTTTTGTGTTTCTTCTCTTTTCATTGCATCTCTCTGGCAAAGCCCTACCCTGGATCAGCCCCACTCTCTATTTTCTGCATGCCTGTGCGCAAGCAACTGACAAAATAGAAAACATCAGCTGACGGGACTGGTTGCTATCACTGGAACCACCAATAGGCTTGTAACGCTGCATGCCAATCTAACTATATTTCTCTGGCCAAAATACCTGCCTATAATCTACAACAACTATTTCAGCTTTTTGCAGCCTCCTCATAATTCAGGGGCCTCCTTGCTGAGCTCCCTCTTTCAGCAGGTGAACTCTCCTCTTGCCTTCCCAGCCATTGAATGGGAACCTGTCATTTTCCTGATACCAAGCACTGACTTATTGGTCTATGAACCTGTGCCTCTCTTCTACATTCATCCCCTTTCTTGCAACTGGATGGAACCTTACACTGGTTTTAAACATGTGTGAGTTATTCTGAAGGAACCCAAAGCTCTCATCTGTCATGGTTGTACCTTTCCTCCTTCACAGCCAAGTTCTTGAAAGAGCTGATCACAGCCACCCATTCCTCACTTCCCACTCTCCCCAGACACCACTGCTATCTGGCCTCTGCTCCTGCCACTCCACTGAAATAGCTCCCCCTCGGTGACCTCCACGTTCACTAAATCCAGTCCTCAGCTCTATTCCACCCCGTTGTTCACTCCTTCTACTTGAAACATACCCCTCCCTTGCTCTGTGACACAATGCCATGTCCCCCATTTCCTCCTCCCTCTGGCTTCCTGGCAAGCTCTTCTTCCACTAAGACCACATGCCAGGCCTCTCCTTGTCTTGCTTTTGGCTCTCCCCTGTGAGACTCCATCCAAATCCAGGGCTGCAACTGCCACCTTCATGAAGATGGCATACATTTCCACATTCAATTCAGACCTCTCATCTGAGCTTCGGACCCTCTACCCGACTAACAAAATGACCCCTTCTTTGAGATGCCTCTAACTGAAACTTACACTCTTCCCCCTCAAAACCGATCCTCTTCCCACATTCCCTGTCTCTGCAAATGGCCCCTCCAGCCATCCAGCCTCACAAGCCAGACGTCTTGCACCTCACCTCCTTCTCCTTCCTTCTCCTTCAGATCCTCCCTGTGCCAGTGTGGCCCGTGCATGCCAGACACATGTCTGCCTAAATATGTCTTGACTCTCTCCACTCCTCTGAGACTCCACAGACACTACCCTCGCTGAAATGACCCTCACCCTCACCTGGATTTGGCAATGATCTCCTAGGTAATCTGCACGTCCACTGCTGCCCTGCCCAGGCCATCATCCCTCACAGACAGAGTGACCTTTTCACGTGTGAAATCCAGTAATCGTACCTACCTTTTTGCCTAAAACACTTGGATGGTGTCCCAGAGCTCCTAAGGATAAAGACAGCCTCCTGGACAAGGCCTCCTTTACCCAGCAAGGCTGACCACCTCATACTCTGTGCCCGCCACACAGTCTTCTCTTTCTCTTTGAGCTGGCCATGTTCACTCTGCCCATAGAGCCTGTATGCACTGCTTCCTCTGCCTGGAATGTTCCTCCCTCTGAGACTATAACTCCTACTCCTCCTTCTAATCTCTATGTAAGTGACATTTGTTCAGGGAAGCCTTCCCCTGCAAGGTCAAATGCTCCTTTATAATCTCTCATAAGAGTATCTCTTCTTTATGACATTCATCCCAATTCAGGGGTACCAGAAAAAAGTACAGGATGCCCAGTTAAATATAAATTTCAGATAAATAAGAATGCCACATGGAATATTCAGGACATATACTAAAAATTATTTGCTCTTTATCTGAAATTCAAATTTTTTGGACATGGTCTCATTTTGTAATCCAGGCTGGAGTGCAGTGGTGTGATTGCAGGTCACTGCAGGCTTGAACTCCTAGGCTTAAGGCATTCTCCTACCTCAGCCTCCTCAGTCGATGGAAGACTACAGGTGTGAGCCACCGTGCCTGGACCTGAAATTCACATTTAACTGGATGTCCTGTATTTCCATTTGCTAAATCTGGCAACCCTATTCTAGTATCAATTTTATGTTTATATGATTGATGATTAGTGCCTTTATCCCATCAAGAGAGTTAGCTACAGAGGGCACAAATGGCACAATCTTGCTCATCCTTGAATCTTCAGCACCTAGGACACGGCCTGGAGTGCATATGTTTGTTCAATGAAACAAACTGGTGAACTGGGAGAGGAGCACCTTGTTCATCTCTACACCCCCAGAACCGTGTATCTTGGTGCAGAGTGCATTAAAAAACACTTGGCCAATGAAAGAGAAGGAAATGGGAAGAAGTAACAATAAAGGAGGAAGAGGTGGGGAGAGGGAATCTGAGAGATGGGGAGGACGGGTCGGGGGAAGGCTGGGAGCAGACAGTACCTTGAGGGTGTGGCACGCCTTGATGGCGGCTGCCAAGGAGTGGCAGTCGCGGTAGGTGAAGAGGAAGAGATTCCACTCGAAATTCATGCCGCAGTCCTTGACATCGTACACCAGGTCTAGCTCCTCCAGGTGGCTCAGGCCAGCTACCAGATTGCCCAGTTGATAGTGGTCAACGGTGGGCTCCTCCATCTCTCCCTCGCTGCCTGAGTCCGACTGGTCGCCCGGCCGGAGCTGGGCCGGGAGCTGCACCGGCGGAAGGAACTGATCGACGTGGACCCTGCGCACATAATTCCTGCAGAGGGGCAGCAGGTCGAGGATCACCGCGGGGTCCGTGGTGCCTGGGATAAAGTGCTTTAGCAGGTTCTCCAGGTGCCGCTCGAAGAACATGCGTTTCCAGCTGCCGCCATGGTGGGCCACGTGGCACACGGGCCAGCGCTGCATGCAGCAGCGGAGCCAGTAGTTCTCATTGTCTATCAGGTTGGCGGTCACAGCCAGTGGTAGGTCAGGGGGCAGGTGGTTCAGGACCTTCTGCTGGTGTTCCGGGAGCATCTGCTTCAGGATAGGGTTTTCTTTGGGAACAGAGGAAGGAAAGCATGGGGTCACAGTGTTGGGGGACACCTCAACATGATGCCTCAGGCTGGGCCTGCCTGGGAGCACCAGGCAAAGGGAAGACCCTTCCCTGCTTAGGGGATAGACAGCCTCTCCTCTCAGGGGGGATCAGGGGGAGGGTGGGACACCAGCCTTTAGCTTTGGGATGTTCCCTGCCTGAAGGGGGACATCTCAGCATCTGTTCTCAGGGAGCTCCCAGACTGAGGAAGAATCTCAGATCCAACTCTCAATTATCACCTGGTCTGATGGGGAATACAATTCCTGAGGTCAGAGGCTTCCAATCTTATTTGATTCATCCATTTCAAAACAAGAAATTTTTTGAGCACCTACTATGTGCCAGAAACTGGAGGTACCACTACGAGAGACTACTATGTCCCACGTGCTGGAGATATAAGAGTAAGCAAAACAGGGCTCTTCCCTTTTGGAGTTTACATTCCAGTGAGGGGAGGCTGACAATAAACAAGTAAAATGAGTGAGACTGGGTGACAATAGTTGCTGGAGATGAAATAATGGCCCTGTCCTCAGACAGCGCTCCATCTGGTAGGAGAGGCTGGCAACCCATCTTTGGAAAGGATCCATATTACAGAGCACAAAATATGGAACAAACCAAGAGACCTTACATGGCATGGAAGACTCCATCAGAGTGGAGGGTGGTTCACTTGGGAAGGCTTTCTGGAGAAGGAAGTAGATATGGCTCAGGCTGAGTTTTGTTGGAGAGAGTGGAAAAGGCAAGGAGAGGGCAGAGGCATGGAGGGTGCAGTGTGGGTGGGAGCCTGGTGGGATCTGCCAGTGGGAACAGAAGGAGAAACTGCCTTGGCCCTGGGTGGAAGGGAAGTGTTGAGTAGGTATGAGGATGCCATACGGGAGAGCAGGGGCTGCCCCAGGACCCAGGTTCTGCAGTCTTGGCTCCAGAGAGTCCCACCCACCTTGCCCCACTCTTGGCCTTCTTCTTCCTACCCAAAGCAGGGACAGACTCACTCTGGAAGTTCCTGATGATGTGCTGAATGCAGAGCTCTGTGAGGAGGGGCACGATGGCCAGTGACCACTCAGGATCTTCAGCAATGATCCGGCGCATCCGATGGAAATTGGCCCCAGGATGTGGGTTCCTGGACTTTGCAGAGACTGGTGTGATTGAAGGCTTTGAGGGCTGTGGGCCTGTGCTTGAAGTGTGTCCGCCAGTGGAGGACTTGTCCTGGGTGGAGACTGAGGAGTGGCTGGGGTCCAACAATGCTGATGTTGTTACAGTATCCTGCATGCTGGAGGCTGGTAATGTAGGGCCGGGTGGCCCCTAGATGGCCTTATGACAAGAAACTTCTCAGACTGGCAGGTCCTTGATACAGGTAGGGATCTGGAGCAAAAGGAAGAGGTAGTGGTGTTACTTTGGAGGGTCTTGGTGGGCATTTACTAAGAGAGGTGGTACAGAATAGTGCTTAAGGATCAGTCCCTGGAGTGAAGCAGATCCAGGTACACATCCACTGGTTATCTGTGTGACCTCAGGCAAGTTACTGAACCTCTCTGAATTTCAGATGCTGCCTCTTAGAAATGAAGGTCGCAGTTCCAGTAGGATTATTTGGAGGAGTGGATAAAATAATGTATCCAAAGGGCATAATATATTATCTGACACATGAAACTAGCAAGGAGCAGCCCAAAATTTTAGATAATAGCTCTATAGCAATTACAGTAATTGCTCTGTGCCAGACAATCTTTTTAGTTCTTTATGCCTATTAATTCATGTGTCCTCAGAAAAACCTTTTTCAGAAAAGCCTTTTTCAGATAGGCACTTGTATTATTCCCATTTTTCTGCTGGGAAACTAAAGCACAGAGAGGCGAATTGACTTGCCCAATGTCATGCAGCTTAGAAATATTACGGGTGGGTTTAAATTCAGTCTGTCAAATTCATGCTCTGAACCCTACATTGGATGGGCCCTCTGAGGGTGAGGGGTGTATACTGCCAAAAGACAGGTATAATAAAGAGCCATTCAACTCAAAACAGGACCCTGCACTAAGTATTCTATAGAACAGCAACTGCCTGATCTGTAGGATGGGGTTGAGAACAGCTCTGGCCAACAGAAATATAATGCAAGCCAAAATGCAAGCCACATATGCTATTTTAATTTCTTTAGTGCCCACATTTTAAAAAGTAAGGAGAAACAAGGCTGGGTGTGGTGGCTCATGCCTGTAATCCCAGCACTTTGGGAGGCCAAGGTGGGTGGGTCACTTGAGGTCAGGAATTCGAGACCAGCCTGGCCAACATGGTGAAATCCCATCTCTACTAAAAATACACAAATTAGCCGGGCATGGTGGTAGGCGCCTGTAGTCCCAGCTACTCGGAAGGCTGAGGCATGAGAATCACTTAAACCTGGAGGGCAGAGGTGAGCCAAGATTGCACTACTGCACTCCAGCCTGGGTGATAGAGCAAGACTCTGTCCTAAAAGAAAAAAAAAAAAAGTAAAGAGAAACAGGTGACATTAGTAGTTTTTTTTTTTTCTGTCTTGCTCTTGTTGCCCAGGCTGGAATGCAATGGTGCGATTTTGGCTCACTGCAACCTCCACCTCTTGGATTCAAGTGATTCTCCTGCCTCAGCCTCCCAGGTAGCTGGGATTACAGGTGCCCGCCACCACACCCAGCTAATTTTTGTAAATTTTTTTTGGTTTTTTGAGATGGAGTCTCGCTCTGTTGCCCAGGCTGGAGTGCAGTGGCCGGATCTCAGCTCACTGCAAGCTCCGCCTCCCGGGTTCACGCCATTCTCCCGCCTCACCTTCCTGAGTAGCTGGGACTACAGGCGCCCGCCACCTCGCCCAGCTAGTTTTTTGTATTTTTTAGTAGAGAAGGGTTTCACCGTGTTCGCCAGGATGGTCTCGATCTCCTGACCTCGTGATTCGCCCGTCTCGGCCTCCCAAAGTGCTGGGATTACAGGCTTGAGCCACCGCGCCCGGCCCAATTTTTGTATTTTTAGTAGAGATTGGGTTTCACCATGTTGGCCAGGCTGGTCTCGAACTCCTGACCTCAAGTGATCCACCCGCCTCAGCCTCCCAAAGTACTGGGATTACAGGCGTGAGCCACAGTGCCTGACCATGAAATTAATTTTATATTTAGCCCAGTATGTCTAAAATGTTATTTATCATATAATCAATATAAAATTATTAATGAGATATTTTATATACTATGTTTTCATATGAAGTCTTCAAAATCTGATGGCTCAATGGGCACATTAAGCCTGTGGCTACCGTTTTGGAAAGTGCAGGTTGAGAGAGAAAGGAGAGGGGAAAGAGACCCATGCCCTGCCCAGGGTGCCCGCAGCCTCCTCTCCTCCTTCCCACTGAGAGCTCAAGCTCCAGGTCCCTTCCCTTCCATCTCCCCATCCAGTGTGCCTCTAGCTCTCCCAGCCTCCCAGCATTCCAGACAGCAGCGGGCAGGCGTGGGAGGCGAGAAGGTAGCTAAATCTGGGGCTGAAGACAGAAGACAGAGGATGTGTCTTGGTCCGGGGACCCTCCCCCATTTGCCCATTCCTGTACCCTTGCACTCCTGCCCTGAGATCTGCAGGAGGAAATGGGGCTGCTGGCACTTAGCTCCTCCTCCAGGCAGTTTCCCATCAGATGTGCACCCTGACGACTCAGTGCACTGGGTAGTGGCCGGTGGGAGGGAACACTCTGAACCAGCAAAGGCATCCTTGGCAGAGGGAGGGACCAGATGGTGCTCCCCAGCCTGCCAGGCATCTCAAGGAGGAAAAGCCTGGTTGAGAGGCAGGTGGTGGGGAGAGGGATAGTGCAGGAAAGATATCTAGGTATTGTGACATCCCTTATGCAAATCAAATGCAAATTCACACACAGATTGTGTCCAGAATTGTGGAATAACCAGATCGTGCTTTTTGACTAATGGCCTCTCAGAGTGTAGGGCTGGAGGGGGTTGTTGCTTAGCGGTACCCGCTGACTTTGCATTTCTGACTTTGCCAGTTATGTGCTTTGTGACCTTGGCCAAGTTACTTAACCTATCTGAGCTTCAGTTTCTTATCTGTGAAACTGGATAATAATATCTTCCTACATGGGCTGTAGTGGAGATCCCCCTGAGATAATGGTCGGTTAATATTGATCATTGTAAAGAATATAGGAGGGGTGTGTGGAGAATGAAGGTACTATGAGGGGCAGGGGTCTGAGGCTGGAGAGAACACATCCTGGAGACCTGCTTCTTGAATGCTGACCTGAGATGGTATCTTTGGATGAGTGCAGTGTTTCTGAGGTCCTTCCCTATTTCCAGGATCCATGTGAAGAGCAAGGAGGCAGGGTGGTGTTGAGGGCTCATAGACAGCACGACAGAGGCAATGGAGGAAGGTCAGAGGCAACAGACTAGACCAACTCCTGCTTGGTTTTGGCCTAAAACATTCTATAATTTCCCTTGGTCCCAGATATGTCCCTGGACACCCATGGGCCACACCCAGGGAGCAGGACCAGGCTTGGCAGGGGGAGCCCCAGGTTGCTGGTATGCATTGCCCTGGAGTTGGCTCTTTAGTCATTCCTCACAGCACCATCCAGCCTCAGCATCCTGGCAGGCAGTCCCTTCTCCTTCTTCTCCTGGGGAGCCACACCTGGGAAACCCCACCCAGGGCCAGGCGGGATGCCTCTGCAATGAGGTCACTCTAGTCCCACCGCCTAGCACCTCACTTTCAGGACCTGGAGTTCTTCCTGCCATCTGGTCCTAATTGCTCTTGCTGCTGTTTCGTGCCTGCAGCCCGCCTCTGGGCATGACACAGCAGGACCCATCGGGGCATGTTCCAGGGCCCTGAATCAACTTCTCAGAAGGAAGGCGCAGGGCCTCGCTCCAAATCACATGGCTGCCGTGTGCATGGCTGGTATAAAAATGAGCCCCTGCCACCTTCAGCGTTTACAGGATCATCCATACCACAAGGCAGGCAAATGCTGAAAAAATTAACTGCGTAAGATCAGAGTGGATAATTTTCATTTAATCATCTCCTGATTTTTAAAAAATGGATATTGCAAAAATATTTTGGCAGGCAAATTATTACCAGACACAGAAGATTCTTCTAAGGAGGATTTTAGTTCTAAGTGTTTTTTAAAAATCTACTTTTAAAACTAACAAAATAGAAAACACAGTATATTTAAAAGGATAACGAGCAAAACTAACTCCTTGCTGCCCCGCTATCACTGTTATGAGGAGGATATGCAGTGTGGCTCCTCCCTCGGCAGGCCACGTTCTGACCCCTGCCCTTGGGGGCCACCCTTTGGTGTACCACTCTCTTGGCTCTCCTCCTACTTTCCGACCATTCTTTTTCCAAAAGTCTTCACCACAGACTTCTCTCCCTCTGCCCATCCCCCATGTGCCAAGGTCCCTCAGAATTCTGCCCTGGTCGTCCACTCATTCCTGCTGATGGACTCTAGCTTTCACCTCTTCCAGGTGGGGTTTCCTAACTGTGACGTCCCAGAGAAGCAGAGGGTACTGCTTACCAGGATGGTGAGGCTGCGGGGTGGTGGTGTGAGTAATGCCAGACTCTCCTACATCTGCATTCCAGACTCAAGTCCACTGGGATGCTGCCTAGGTCCCTCAAACTCAATCCATCCGGATGCCGGCACCAGAAGCCAGGGAGTCACCTCTTTTTCAGCCCTCCCACCCCACCCCACCATCTAGTTACTGATTCAGTTCTGCCTCCCCCCAGGCAGCCTCTCCTTTCCTGCTGCCGCCTTAGCTCAGGGCCTCAGTGTCTGTCTGGATCACAGCATCAGCTGTTGGGCATGTAGTCTCTGGCATCCAGTCTGGTTCTCTCACATCCAGCCTTCACACAGCCACTGTGGCAGGCTCCTTGTAAGCCCTCTAGCGGCTCATCACTGCTTACGGTAAAATCCAGCCTCCTCACCTTGGTGTGTGAGGCCCTCCGTGGCTGGACACCTTGTTGGAAATAAGCTCCTCTTTGCATCTGGGACATTGCAGCCCAGTTCATGCTGCCAAGCCCTTGCTCAAATTGTTCTCTCTGAAATGCTTTTCCCACCATCTCAGCCAGGGAAAGGGACAATCACTGGTCTTCTGAGTCTGAGCTCAAGCACCACTTCCTCTCTGAAGGCGAGGTGCTTCTTTGTCCCTGATGCCACAAAACAACCCCTCCCATTGTCAGACCCCATCTTTCCAGTACCTGCATCACTCCAGTGACCTGACTGCCCACCCTCTCACCACACCCACACTAGACTGTGAGCTGCTCGAGGTGTAGGGGCTGTCTCCTCCTCATTTTTGTTTCCAATTCCTAGCCCAGTGGTAGGTCTGCTTTAGGCGAGGTAGCTGGTGTTTGGGGCTGCTCCACTGGCTTCTGATAATAGATTCTGGCCAACAGGAGTATCCTGTTGATCAGGGCAACTTGTTTGGGGGTGGCTATCTGATATAAGCCAATCAGAGTCCTTCTTGAGATTTGTCCAAGTGGAGGAGGACAGAAGGACATGTGTCCTTGAAGGATCTGGATCTCCTGCTGCTGGAAGTCATTTCTCTCCACACTTACAAGGTCTGTTTGCAGCAGGAGGGAATCAAGCCTGGGGGAGAGCAGCAGAAACGAAAGATAGACCCAGACAGCATCCTGGTATCTTCGATCCCCATGCCTAGTCCCGGAGGCTCCCAGAGCTGTCTGGCTCGTTGGCAGTGCCTTCAGCTCTGAGAGCTAAGTTGGCAGCCTTCTAATAAGTCCCTTTGCCAAAGCTAAGAGTTGGGTTTCTACTCCTTTTGACCAAAAGGTCCTGCCCCATTTTGACCAAAAGGCTCACTGTTTGGTGAGTGAAATTATGGGAAAAATCTTAAATCAGTAGATGAAAGAGTTCAAAGGGATAGCTGAGAAGGGCCAAAGGCCCCCAGGTTATTACTCACAGGACCTGATTCACTCCTGTGGCCTCTTCCTCTCTTGACTACATTGAGCCTCTAGTCTCACATTCCATGTCTCCAGGGCTGGGACAGTATCAGCACCTTACAACTGTCCAGCACTTAACAGCTGCAAGGTCCTTTCAAGGTCCTTTCAGAACTATCCTCTCAGGGAAAAAAAAAAAAAAAGGCTGGGTGTGGTGGCTCACACCTGTAATCCTAGCACTTTGGGAGGCCAAGGCAGGAGGATTGCTTGGGGCCAAGAATTCAAGACCAACCTGGCCAATATAGCGAGATGCTATCTCTAAAAAAGAAAAAAAATCTCATGTGACTCTTCAACCACCCTATAATGGAGCTAGGATGGGCTTCCTTATCCCTATTTTACAGATGAAGAAACAAGGAAACAGGAAATGACTGGGTCTAAAACACCTATGAGAGCGGGGGCCAGCATCTGAGGGCAGGTCTCCTACCTCTAGTCACAATACACTACCCCTCCACAGTCACTCAGTATGTCCCCCTCCCCTGGCTGTTCCTGCCCTCCACTAGGAAAGAAGAAAGAATATTCTTGCTCCTTGGAAAGTGGGGAGGGCCTCCCTGTGCTGAGAGCACTCCCAGGCCTTTGGTACTTTACTATGGGAATTTCAGAGCCCTAATGTACAGTTTTCATCCCTGTTAGGGTAAATGCATTTTCCCCCTAAATGAAACAAAATTTAATATTTTCATCAGGGCAGTCCTGGAGGTGGCTGAAGGGTCACCTTCCTCTCTGGAGCTTTCCTTCCCTGGGGAACCTGTTGGGTCAGTCAGAGAATCCCAGAGTTTGAAGACTAGGAGCACATTCAAGACTCCAGTCTTGAACATGGGCAGGGCAGGAATCCTGACATTCCAGAGAGGTCAGGGCCACCAGGAGTGGGTATGTCTTGTGCCACCACCTGGTGTCCCCATCCAAGGATGTGCTGTGCTCTCAGAGGGGGAAAGTGGGGACACATGCAGTGGACTTTCACTTCTCTGGGGCCTGCCTTTACCAGCTTGTTCGGCTTCACATGGCTGTGTCTCTAACCCGGTACCACAGTCCCTAGGGAAGGGCCAATCCTCCTCCCCTGGGCCCCTACTGTGCATCCTCAGGACCAGGGTCCAGGGTCCTGAAATCACACACAGGGAACATCATCCATACCAGGCCATTAACTCAAAGGACCGGGTGTGAAGGACTGCTCTTTCCATGCCCAAGCACGTGTAATAGAAAGTGACAAGATGCTCCAGTTTGGCCAGAGTTGTCCTCATTTCTGATGGCTTGAATCTGGTGGACAGGTGTTCTGGGAACCATACCCTTGGCTATATATAGCTATGATTTATTGAGAGCTCTAGGCCTTCAATAGCATGTACATAGCAGGAGGCAGGACAGCAGCTGGCTAAGTACTCAGGAGTTGAGCTGCTGCCTCAAGTCAAATCTCCACAGTGGCCCCCACTATCTGCGCAACCTTGGGCAGGTCCCTGCTTGCCTCAGTTTCTTCATCTATAATGTGAGGACAGTACTTAATAGTACCTATTTCATATGATTACCCAGAAGATTAAGGTGTTAATGTGTGTGAGACATTTCATAGAGTGCTGGGCCCAGAGCCAGCACTCAAGATGTGTGTTAGATAGAGTGAAGATGCTAGATGGCTTACTTACATAATTTCATTAAATTCTCAAATGAATTATTGAGGATTATTATTGAACACTATTGTCCCTGTTTCACAAATGAAGAAACTGAAACTTAGAAAGCTTAAGTAACTTACTAAATGTCACTAGCTAGTAAGTGGAGAAGCTGAGGTTTTAGTTTGTGTCTGTCTAATGCTCTTACTTCCATGAGATGCTGGGGTTGCTTATAAATTGCTCCCAACTCAGTCATTCACAGCACTTTTCCAGTGAGTCTCCCACTTTCTCCAGCTCATGAGCTCTCTTGTTCACCAACACGGAGCCCAGGGTTATCCGCTTGGTGCTGACCTAAATAGTCCAGGCTCCCTCTTCCAGTTCACTGCTGGGCACAGGAGCCTTCTGCAAGGCTGGACCACTGCCTGCATCCTTTGGAGGGCCGGAGGAGCCCAACGGACTGCTGCAGAGTAGTGCTCTCCTGCCCCTGGCACATTCCCTCCACAGGAAGTCTCCGGTCTTCTCCATCCTTCCTCAGGTCCCCAGCTAAATCTAACCATTCTGGGCAGGAGCTCCTTCCACCTGCCCTAATGGGAACACGAGGAAGATGCTGTAGGGGAGCATTCTCACCTTCTTGTGCATCACAGTCCTGGTCCTCAACTGTCCTTACCTCCCTTCCTCTTAGCCGAGAAGAGGAGACACCCAGTTCTCTTTGGGCAGACAGCACCTCTGTGCCTGGGACACTTCCCCAGGAGCTGGCTCTGCACCCACTGCTCTGACTGCCTTCTTAGCCGCTCCCATCCCAGATCCCCTCAAGAGAGCCCTCGTCTGTCCTCAAGACTCTCGGCTTTTGTCTACACCCACCTCCATTTCTTTCATGGCCACCATGTCTTACTTTGGGGTAAGTCACTCCCAAGTTGGGAATTCCATTTATGGAAGGGCAAAAAACTTTCTCCAACTGGGCCTCGGCCCGCGTACTTGGACTTGGGCTGGGTGAAACCGCCAGTTCACTTACCACAGCCCCCGGGCTGGCCTCCTCCCAACTCCTGACCACTCAGGTCTGTTGTCTCCAAAGGGACACCAGCGGCTCTGCTCCCACCCCTCCTTACCTTCAGCTCAGACACTCTAGCAGGGAAGCTCAGCTGCAAAGGCCACGGGGTCCCTCCCCCATCCTACCTGGGGTGTAGAGGCCCTGGTTTCTCCTTGGTAACCCAGGAAAACCGGCAGTGCGGTGGGAGGGAGGGAGACGCAGAAGCAAGCTTCTGGACACGCGGGAGGGATTACAGCCCTCGGGTGCTGGGAACAGGGACGGCCTTTCGCAGAAGGCTGGGGCCCCAGGGCTTGGGACCGCTCTCCTCCACGCCCTACGGATGCCCCATTTTCCCCCTCTTCTTCCCATAGTCCCTCCGCTCGCCTCACTCGGATACCCAGCCCCAGGCCAGACGGTCCGCAGACTGTGACTGTGGTGGGGAGGAGGCGCGGGGCGTCCTCGCATGGAGGGCGTGGGGTCTCCTGTGGGTACGGACCGGCGCTTCCCCGCCACAGAAAACGGAACCCAGGCAATGGCAGCCTGTGGGCTTCTGGCGGTGTGGGCAGAGGACGCTAGAGGGGCTCCCGGGCCCAGCTGACCTGAGCGGGCCCCGATAAGGGAGACCGGGGCTGTGTGTCCCCACTCCCCGAGGTCGCCTCACCCGCTTCGGGAGCCTCGGCGCTTGCCTCACAGAGTCCCGCGCGCCGGCGCCGGTCATTGTCGTTGGGGACGCCCCGTGTTGCTAGGAGCGGGCCGGGCGGGGAGGACGAGTACGCCGCGGTTCGGAGGAGGGGGCGCTGCTGCTTCCTCGGCTGCAGCTGCGCGCACGGCAAGCGGCTCACTCGCGCGCAGGGTGGCGAGGCCAGCCCTTCGGACGGTTCCGTGGAAGCGGCCGCTTTGGGGGTAGTGGGACCGTGGCCTTGAGCTAGGCCCTGTGCTTCCGTGGGACGTGTCTAGGAACGGGTGGGCTTTCTGCGGGAGGCGGAGGTCGGGCAGGCTGCTGGTCTGGAGTGGTTGTGCTCTCTTGCTAGCTTTTGTGTGGCCATGGATAGGGAGCTGGTCCAGGAAAAGCGTCTGTGGAAGATGAAGAGGGTGGACGGACCTTCTCCAGGGCACCTGTATAAGTCACTGAACTCCCCTGAGGTCTCCTGTTGACCTTAGGTCCTGCGGGAGGGCACTGTCCACCTTTTCCCCGGCTGAAAGTCTGGCACCAGACGCAGGAAGGTTCCAGGCCAACAGTGCTCTTTCACACAGCCCATGCCCTGTGCCAAACACCCTTCCAGCCCTGGCGCCACAAGATGTGGTTGGGGCCCCTGATCTCCTGAAGGGTGAGAGGGACAGACTTCAGAGGGACGGCTAGTAAAAAAAGAAAGTGGCCTTCAGGAAGGGAGAGGCAGCCAGGGTGGTGGGGGTTTCAAAGGGTAGCTTTGATTTCAGCTCTGCCGAGGACTACTAGTTGGTTACCCTGGATGTACATCTCGAAGCTCTGTTAACTCATCAATAAATCAGGGGTGCCACAACTCATCTTGGCACCCGCGGAGGAACTTGGACCAGGGCCTGTGGTGAGCACTGCTGAACAGTGGCTACTGCTCCAGTGGCCAGGATGCTGAGGCAAAGCTTTGCAAGCAGCGAGGGGCCAGGCACCAGGGATTGGGTTCGTTCAAGCCCTCACCAGTGCCTCACCAGCGAATCATCTATGCCTTAATTAGAATGAGAAACCGTGCAGAAAATGATGTCAGGCAGGCCCACGCTGCTAGAATTTTTACTAGACAGAACTTGGTACCCAGGGAGCCCTTGATTTGAACATGGGTCCCCTGGGGCCCTTTCCTTCATCTAGCAACAGAGATCTAGGAACAGAGGCAGAGGTCCAACATCTGGCTGTCTGAGGTGGACTCATTCTAGTAGGGAAGGAGGGCTTTCCTCCATCTCTTGGCTTCCACCTACTTTGAGGTGTCAATTTTCAGCTTCAGCTCAGGCTTGAGGCAGGTGCTATACAACTTGTTTTAAGAAGTATAGTTTTTCTGACCCCGCTCTACAACCTCATCACCTGCCCCTATCCCAGCTCACTGCTCAGTGGCACTGGCCACCTCACAGCATCTGCATTGGCTGTTCCCTCAGCCTGGAATGCTTTTCCCTCAGATTTCCACATGGGTCACACCTTCACCTCCCAGCTGCCTGCTCACATGCCACCTCTCGGTGAAGGAATACTACCATCCACACTCCTAATCCCCATTATCTATTTTTCCCCCCAGACCTCATCATCATCTGACACTTTCTCCCTTGTAAGACAGGGCCTCACTCTGTTGCCTGGAGTGCAGTGGTGCAATTATAGCTCACTGTGGCCTTGAATTCTTGGGCTAAAGTGATTTTCCCACCTCAGCCTCCCAAGTAGCTGGGACCAAAGTGTGGGTAGTCTCAGCTACTTGGGAGGCTGAGGCAGGAAGATCACTTTTTTTTTTTTTTTTTTTTGTAGACAGGGTCTTGCTGTGTTTGCGCAGGCTGGTCTTGCACTTCTGGCCTCAAGCAATCCTCCAACCTCAGCCTCGTAAAATGCCAGGATTATAGGCATGAGCCACCAAGCCTGACCCTCTTCTTTTGCTTTACTGCCTGTTTCCTCCACAAGAAGCAGGCTCCATGAAGGAAGGAACCGTGTTTGGTGCCCGCCACGTTCTCAGTTGCTCAATTCATCAACCAACCAGCAGGGCCTAATTTAATTTAGAGGTCATTGCTAATGAAAGAAGTGATAGCAAAGGTCTCCACTGCTGAAATGATTTTCACAGGATGGTTCTGTGTTGTCCCAGTAGCCAAGGAGCCCTTTGTCAATGCCCACTGTTGCCTGGCACGCAGAGCCTGTCTGAACACTCATGGCAATGAAGATGGCCTGATTTGGATCCTGGGTGGCCTTTCAGACAGTGTGAGTTCAGACTGGTGTTAGGGCACCCATACCAGGTTGCTGGGAGGGGCAAAACTACTCTTTTTTAAAGTAACAGAACCTCTGCAGCTTCCTGTCCTCTGTGAAATTATTTACTTATTTGAGACGGAGTCTCGTTCTGTCACCCAGGCTGGAGTGCAGTGGTGCGATCTCGGCCCACTGCAACCTCCGCCTCCCAGGTTCAAGCGATTCTTCTGCTTCGGCCTCCCGAGTAGCTGGGACTACAGGCGTGTGCCACCACGCCTAATTTTTTGAGTTTTTAGCAGAGATGGGGTTTCACCGTGTTAGCCAGGATGGTTTTGATCTCTTGACCTCATGATCCTGCCTCGGCCTCCCAAAGTGCTGGGATTACAGGCGTTAACCACCATACCCGGCCAGTGAAATAATTTCTAATGTGCAGTCACAGCCATAATTGCCCATGTCTTCTCATTCACCAAGGGGGTGTGTGTCTTTGGGCCCACTTCTGCCTTCCCTAGCCCATGTCTCCTTGTGTCATGTAGGGCCTGGCCCAGGTGATCCTCTTTGGCTCAGCTGCTTGGCCTCCAGCCTCTAGTCCTTGCTTCAGCCAGTGGGAAGGTTCTGCTGGCTCCTTCAGGGCTCCTGGCATTGCCTTTAGTCCATGTGGGTCCCCGGGTGGGCCTGGGTCAGAGCTGGCTGAGGGCATAGGCTCGGGCTGTACTGAGGGCAGCTTCCAGGTCAGTAGTGCTTCCGGTGCCTTGGGCCACCACTCGCGAGCCCCAGGCCTTGCCCCCCATGTGGCTGCACACTGCCAGTGCCCAGGCCTCTGCTGTGAAAGTGGGCATGGCACCCTAGGAACAGAATCAGAAGGGGAAGTGATGCAGAGTGGCCCTCCCTGCCAGCATCCACCCAAGGTACCCTCAAGAGTGGAGTTGAAGGTGATCAGCGCCCGTTTCCCAGCTGGGCACATGGTGGGGCAGTCAGGTGACAAGTCGGAAAAGGTTTGGGGTGGAAATGTGTGTGGGGAGGTTTATGAATGTGAACATCTGCTACTTGTTTACAAGGGATGTGAGGCCTGGGAGGGGCTGGTAATTAAGGAATCTCTGGTGCTTTCTGGAGTAGGGAGGGGCTGTTTTTAGGAACAAGGAGATTCCCCTATCCCTGTCCTGGAGTATTCTCATAGATACCTCCACCCAGCCTTGGCCCCTTTGTCTGGGAAGAATTAAAGGTGTAGAATCAGACAGCTGGACCAGGATGGGTATTAATGGGGGTGGTGGGCTGCTCTCCCACTTCCCTCACCTGGGCCACCTGACAGGCACACAACACCTTCCCCATGGACTGGGGGCTGAGTAGGAGCACAGATGTGCTGGGGGCCTGCTCACACAGCTGCCGTACCACCTTCACCAGCACCTGGACCATGAAAGACAGATGGTGAGCCCATAGCTTCCCAGACCCCTAGCTACCTCCTGGTCAGGACTTTGCCCTCCTCAGACCCTGGGGCAGCCCCGCTTGGCCAGCACTCACAGAGAGAGACTCAGCAGAGACTGTGTCCACAATCAGAGGCCCCTTCGAGTGCCGCTCCAGCAGCTCCTGAGTTTTCTTTGCAGCCTATGGGGCAGGAAGGATGAGCAGAGGGGTCAGGCTGAGAGGCAAGTTTCCAATTAGCCCCCACCTCTGATCTGAGACCCAGCTAAGCAATCCCCTGCTTCCCCCACCCACCCCAAAGGTCATCAGCTCTAGGCAGAGGGGGCAGGGACTCTGCCTAGGGTGGCCTCCTTTTTGGGTCCCACATGTGTCCTTCCTCACCTCCCTCGCCACTTTCATCATAGCTTCAGGCCCCTACAAATAGGTCACTGAAGGTGAAAGGAGGAAGGTCAGAGCACAGATGGACCAGGAGTGGGCGGGAGAAAGGGGATCCACAGTGGAGGTGTAATCAGGGCTGAATGGCACTAATCAAGTCAGCAGGCTTCCGGGGTTAGGGGGCCTGAGCCAGACTTGGGAGTTGGGGGAGAAACACAGTTTGAAAGAGACAGAAGTGGGGGAATGGCCTGGGTGATGGTTTTCAGCTGGCGGGAGAAGGAAGAAGCTGCCACCACCCCGTCCCCATGTCCTTGCACAGCCTCAGACTCACCCCCACGCCCCAGCCCTCGAGACTTCTCAGTATATGTGCTGGAGTGTCTCTGGGCACATGGGTGCAGCCAAACCTCCTCTCACCTGCCCCATCTGCAGCTTACGGATGGCAGTGTTGGCACGCCGCTGCAGCATCTTCAGTGTGGCCAGCAGCTCCCGCCGCTGCCACTGGGGCATCACAGAAGTCTCCACAGCCTATGGCCAGAAGCAGTGCATCACCCCTGCCCTTCCCTGAGCCATAGTCTCTGAGGTAGGGACCAGCAGAGCCAGGGAAGACACCCACCCTATAGACAAACATCTGGGCCAGCTGGAGCCCAACCCGATTGGAGTGCTAGAGAGAGTCTAGAGGGGTCCAGGGAGGAATAGGGGAGGGAATAGGGCCAAGAGAGGGTGGGGAACAGCTCCATAGTAGGCGTGGCCCTCACTTCAATGAGTCGTCCTATGTCCTTGGACAGCCTCAGTGCCTCTGCCACATCCCGGCTCCCCTGACTCAGTCGCTCAGTGGCTGCTTTTGCTTCCTGGGCCAGGTTCTGGCCTAGCTCTCGGGCCTGCACGGAGGGGACAGGAGGGTCAGGGCCGCCAGGCTTACATTGATCTCCCCAGGACAAGGCCTCTCAACTCATTACTGGTCAGGGACAAATAAGATATAACAATCAAGACCAGTCAAGGCACCAGCACCAAATAAAACACATGCCAGCTGCCAACAGCTGATATGGCCACATTGGTGTGCAAGTATTAATACTGGCTCTGCTGCTGGGTACCCCTGAGCCCGAGCATGTCACCTGCGTGTGTCCCATGCACCCACTCAACCCAGAAGTCCCAGGCCTACTGGCAAGCTGACCTGCTGGGCCTGCTCCCCAGTGATGGCCAGCAGGCGGGTAGTGCCCTTGGAAAGCTGGCGGTC